ATATTATTTTTATAATTCATGAATTCTCAAGAGTTTTATTTTCTGAAATGTGTTTAGAATTTCTGAGCATCAAAAGGATGTAAAAACATTTATGCTAACTGGTAAATGTAAAAACATATAAAAGTAAACCAGTCTGGTTTATAAATGTTTTTTCTGGGATACCATCTGAATATTAAAGAGAGGAAAAGAAAAACTAAAGCAATATAGTTTTAAGGCGGTTTGAACTTTAGAATTATAAACTCTTCACACTCCATCTATGAAGCTGAAGCCTGTAAGATTTTCTGCTTCAAAGCAACTTGGGCAATAGATGATTGACGTTGGCTCTCTATATGGCTATAGGAGGCAGGAATTTCTTTTAAATACTCAAGGAGGTGACCTGTGTAGTGTAGGAAGGTTGCGTGAAGTGGGCTAAGAGGGCTGTGGGTTTCCTGTGTCCCGTGCAGCTGCTGCAGTGGCACCGGTGCCCCTGGGGCTGCAGCTGTGGCGAGCATTGGCTGTGCCATGTCCCGGTCATGCATACCTGTGCACTTCGAGGTGCTTTCTAAGCTAATCCCAAGAAACTCACTATGTCCTTGTGTTGCTGCTGCTGAAAAGCAGATGACACCATTTCAGAGAATAATGTGCCTTGTGAGGCTTAATAACAAGTGAATATTAGAAGTAAACCTAGGAAGCTCTAATCACTTTTCTTAATGTCCCCATAGGTACCGGAGTTTAAAACACTTCAACTATGACGTCTGCCAGAGCTGTTTCTTTTCTGGCCGTACAGCAAAGGGGCATAAATTGCATTACCCAATGGTGGAGTATTGCATACCTGTGAGTACCAATTTACTGACCATTCCTAAGGGATTGTTTTTGCACTATTTGAGGTCTAAATTTTTCTCATAGTCTTTTGTCACCTAGATATTTTGCCAGGATTTCTTTTCATATCTTCAGTAGGGCCTGTCTTCCCACCTTTCTGTTTGAAAGTCATCAGGGACTTTGCTAGTACTGCTGATTTTATGTGGCGGTGTTTGGATTCTGTAGAAATGAGTAAAGTATCCACCTCTGAGAGAAGAACTTCACTTTTGTTTTGTAAAAACAAAGCTGGAATATTAAATATAATTGCAGTACTTGTATACATGCCCATGCACACACGCTATAAGGGTGAGAAAATGTCAGAGTAAAGGGACTCACTTTACTATTGCTATACCATAATAAAGAATATTTAATATTCTAGTAATGCACTTTAATATTTTTAAAGGTGTGTGATCTTTGCTTCCAGGTCCAACATTTTTCTTGCATCATGAAAACGTGGTTGGAAACGTGTTGTGTTTTATTCCCCTGAGTAATTACTGTTTACTGGGATATTTAAAAATTGGTGTGTAGCTGGAAAAAAAACCAAAACAGAATTGACAGTTTCTAACAAAAAATGGTGTGAGAGGTTTGCCTGCATTAGCTAATAAAAAGTAATTTTACAGCACAGTATTTTCCTAATGAAATTTCAAAGGAATTTTCTAAGAAAGTTTCTAGGAGACTTTCTTAAGTGGAGGAGTGGGTAACTTCCTTCATAAAATACCACTTCCACTTTTTTTTATTTTGATAGTTGTTTACATCCTTAAGAATTTTAACTCAGTCACAAATAAATTAATGGGATAATCGGTATGTAATTTAAATAACAGTGGTGAAAGGTCTGTATGCTCAGAAAAACATATTCAGACCAGAATGTATCAAGCTGATGAAATAGAGCTGATTTCTAATAGTGTTACAAGATTCTGTGGGTTCTTCTATTAGGAGAAAAATCATTGAGTTATTTGACTGTCCTTGGCTGTAGTTGTTGGGCTTATTATCAGTGTTTTCCCACTCTTTTTCATCCAATGCGTCTTCCGTAACGTAATTCTGTTAAGTAGTATTTTCACTTCATTACGATCAGAAGAAACCATGAGTTATGTTAATTTATTTTCATTAATTCTATAACCTAATGTTAGGATTTGATTGATAAATTGGCATGCCGGGCTACATTTTGAAGAATTTTTTTAAAGTAGATTGCAGCTTTGTTTTTTTCCAGCCAGCTCTAATGTTTGTTATATTCTGTCACTGGTTTTTTCCTTCTGCCTCCTCTTTTCCCTTCTCACCTTCTTGGGACACTTATTGGCTGTTTAAGGGATATGTTTTGAAATTACAACAGATACTTAGAGGGGGAAAATGTTGCATATACCAAATAGTAATTTTATGTAACGGTGGATGTGTTGAATATAAACCAGTCTATAATATTTCTCTGCAATACAGATTCTTTATCTGCTGTAGCTACAGGTTTGATATGTTTCTTGACAGACAATAAAATTTTCGTATTGGAACTGAAGATGTATGAAAAGATGTTCTTTCTGTGCTGCTGCCTGGGCATAGAAATGTCCTTGGCATAATTCATAGTATTGCCTGGCCTCTAACTTTACTTATACAACAGGATTTTTTTTTATGATTTTGGTGATCAAATATGTTGGTTTTGATACAACATGGTTAAAGTAGAACTTTTTTTCAATTTGTTTAATGCTGCAGTGGACACCAAGTTGACCATTAGCCAGCAATGTGTCCTTGCCACAAAGAAGGCTAATGGTATTGTGGGCTGCGTTAGGAGGAGAGTCACCAACAAGGAGGTGGTCCTTCCCCTCTACTCAGCACTAGTGAGGCCACACCTGGAGTACTGGGTTCAGTTCTGGGCTCCCCAGTACAAGAGATGCATGAACATACTAGAGAGAGTCCAGTGAAGGGCCACAAAGATGATGAAGGGACTGGAGCATCTCTCCTACGAGAAAAGGCCGAGAGCTGGGACGGTTCAGCCTGGAGAAGAAAGAGTGCAGGGGGGATCTTAACAATCTATATAAATACCTGAAAGGAGGGTGCAAGGAAGAGGGAGCCAGGCTCTTTTCAGTGACAGGGCAAGAGGCAGTGGGCACAAGCTGCAATGCAGGAGGTTCCCTCTGAACATCAGGAAACACTTTTTTACGGTGAGGGTGACCCAGCACTGGCACAGGTTGCCCGGAGAGGCTGTGGAGTCTCCATCCTTGGAGATACTGAAAAGCTGTCTGGGCATGGTCCTTGACAAATGGTTCTGCATGGCCCTGCTTGAGCAGGGAGATTGGACAAAACAGCCTCTAGAGGTTCCTTCCTACCTTAGCCAGTCTGTGAGTCTGTGATTCTATAGAGTTTTATTTTCTTTCCAAACGTTAAAAGTTATGCCAATTAAATGTTACCAACACAACTGGTTGTTTACTTGTCTCCTTAGCCAACATAGCCAGAAAAGTCTGAACATGTTTGAGATGTATTTTTCTTAGATTAAATTTTTTTCCTTATAAAGTTCTCTCCGACCTCATTTTCAGTTTGTATCATGGTCATGGAGCAGAAATGTTCTTTGCTAATGTCTGTAATATACAGAAAATTCTGTAAAATACAGAAATGAAGGCATAAGGTGTTCCAAAATAGATAATGCTGCTGCTCCATGTAATAAGATACCCTTCCTGTTGCGTTAGTCAAATACATGTTGGGAAATCAAAGGGGAAAGAAACAGATTATATCTAATATGGGGTATGGTACTGTCCCTAGGACAGGTTGGTATATTTCTTCTGATGACTTCCGGGTGTTGTCTGAAGCAGCAGATTTGATATCTGAGAGAAATTTTCAGTTCTCGTTAAACATGTTCACCTTATGTAACTGTGAGCCATCTAATTTAAAAGTAAAGACTGTCGTACAGAAAAATATATTCTGGAAATGGCTGGAATCCCCACTGTCCCTGGAACTAGGTACAGCTTGTATTATAATGAAGATTTCTGTTCCTGCTGCAAAAAGAATATAGTTTTAAAGCAATATTAAGTGCAAAATAAGGTAACCCAAGGCAAAAGTCCCTTCTTTCCATGAAATATGGGAGGAATGAGGTGAATCCACTATGGGATAATAAGGGGAATAAGATGACATTCTTGATTAAAGTGAGTGAAAGAAGGCAAGTGTATAGAAGGTAAAGGAATGAAATTGGATCAGTTTAAAGTAGAGCAGAATAAAAGAGCTGGCATATAATTTAAGTGACACATAAAATTAGAGGTCCCCCATTAATCTGGAAGCTGAATATGGGGGTTGCAATTTTTCTTGGGTCTTCCTGTAAGTACACTCTGCTAGCTCCATTTCTGTAAGAAGAAATGACCCATTGTATGAACAGACTTATTATATGCCTGTTTGACTTCCATAGTCAGTACCTAAAATGCAATCCATTTTAACTAATCACATCTGAATTAGGTCAGGAATAAAGAATTGATTTCACAAGAAGAATCCAGTATTATTTATTATTACTATTTGTAATAATGCACTATGTTTGGTGTCCTAATTTGTTGCTTATTTAATGCAATGTAATAGTCAAGAACTGCAAAGTTGGTAGAATAGCTTATATGTTTGAATGGAATAATGCCCGAAAAATATCATAGAGCTGGGTCTATGAAATAAAAAAAAAAAATAAAAAGAAAGTACCAAAGGCCAATGCATTATTCTTTAGAATCCATTGTATTATGATAGAGGTACACTCTTCCTATTCAGGCTATCTACCTTTTCAACCTAATTCAAAGGCTGTTGATGTTAAAATGTTACTTTTGTGGCCAATGTTGCAAAGCAGAGTACAAATACCATACTCATCAAACTGCATTGATAAAATCTAGCTTCCCTTTCTTACTGTTAATGTATATTAATACGTTAATATCAAGAATACTAGCAATAATTAGGAAGAAAATGCTTCCCTGATTAATAAAGCTGGCATTTAGAACTGGAGCTTAATTGCAGATGGAGGGAAGACCTTTTAATTGTGTTCAGGTAAGCAGTTCAGTTTAGGGTATGAAGGGATTTTTCAGAAGCTCGCTTACTTCTATTTAAACTTAAAATAATTTGGAGAATGGCTTAAGGAATCATTTTTTTTTTTAAATTAAATTTGCAAGAGGACGATTCTCCATTTTAATGAGTTTTGTGATATTTGCATCAGGTGAGAATTGCTTCATAATTTCAGAATATGGCTATTCACACCAGATAGTTATGTGTAGTTATTGCATCCTAATCTGTAATGCCATTTAGCATTCATCCTAGCTTGCAGTTTAGTTTTCTTGATGCTGGAAATGCAAAAATTCATGATAATGGCTTCAGTTATGTCTTTTTTCTTTCATTCAGGATTTAGTGATGGGTGGGCTAAGGAACCGAAAACATTACTATCTCTAAGTAGTAGAAATGCAAAGTTATTACAGTTGTTTTTTCACCTTTAAATAGTCTTTGTCTGAAAAGGTGGAGAAATAGGTTTTTTCATGTAAAGTTTTGCACAGAGATGTGTAAAAAATTTTGTAAGATTTTCCTAGCATCTAATTCAGGAATATTCTTACATAAGTACCTATATGATTTATTTTTAGCTTTTTTGGAACGGAAATTCTCTCAGTAATGGTACCTGTGTTATATTAATGTGGTTTTCTGTACCAATGGGTCCTTTGAATTTCAGATGGAAATAGTTACTGCATCAGTTTTCTTTCTCCAAACTGTTTCCACTTCGCAACCCTTATATTCCACAGTAAAACCTTAAAAGCAGCTTTTCTGAGGTAAGGTACAAATATCAAATCAGCAGTTCTGAAAATTTTCTCATTGCAAGTAGTCTTACTTCCTGACCTCAATGAAAGTATAATTGATTTTTGTGGTTCTGTGCCACTACACTCACCTGGCACAGCTCCTTATTTTGGGAACTGGTTTTTTTGTAGCCTTTCTATACAAAATGATGGCAGCAAAGGTTAGCCTTTTCATCTTCCAGATGACCAGAATTTTATTTC